CCACCTGGTGATTCCCTGAATTCCATCCCACCAAATTTACAACCCCTCCCAAGCTGTGTGCGGTGGCTTTTGCATATGAATTTTTAGCCTGTCCTTACTCAGGCTAAAAATCTGTCAGACAAGTTGCAGCTGGGTGAGGGAGCCCCAAACCTATCAATAAATGGCCCAAGACCCAGCATCAGCACCAGCATGCCTTGCTTCACAGCTGGGCCTTTTCTGGGCCTCATCTGGGCACTTCCAAACCTGATCCAAAGAGAAGGAATCTGCAGATCTCTCTGTAGCTCATGATGGATGGCCACTGGCAGTAGCTGACTTTGCACCTATCTGGAGACACAAGAGCCAGTGTATCCATTGGTCAGTGTGAGACTGTACCAGATTACAACTATTCACATCCATAAGCGACACGCTCAAGGGGCAGACTCAGTGAGCATCAAAGCCCTACTGAAGCAAGTACTGCTCCATAAGGGTATTTCCATAAGCAGCTCTTCCACTGTAATCTCAGCTGGTCCCCACAGTCAATTGGTCTGAAGGTCAATTCCTCCCAGTGACATCAATAGCAGTCAAGGCTCAACTACAACAAAACTGTGCACACAGCCCACAGAGGGGTGCACCAAGAGTGTCCACCCTCAGTGATTGGAGGGGCTGAGCCACTGGGCCCTATAGGACACCTACTACACAAGGCTACTTATCAGCTCATGGAGACTTAGCTGCTACTCAATACATAGAAACAAACAAAGGGAAGCAACTTAATTTCAAAGAAACATGTCACAAATAAAAGAAATGAAGAAAGAAAACCACTGGATATAGAGTTCAAAATCACACTTTAATGTTAGTCAAAAATATTCTAGAAACCTCCAAGAAACTTAGACTTTCAAGGATCTTAGTGAGAGTGCCAAAAATAAAAAAATAAAAAATAAAAAATGGAAAGAACCAGTCATAAATTGAGCATACATTCATTGAAATAAAGAATAATATACAGGGATTCAATAGTAGACTAGAGGATCCTGAGAATCAAATCAATTATTTTAAATACAAGGAAGCAAAAAAACACCCAGCCAGCAAAGCAAAAAAAAAAAAAAAAAAAAAAAAAAAAAAAAAAAAAAAAAAAAAATTAAAAAATATGAAAATAGTGTAAGGAGCCTCTGGGACAACTTCACATGTACCAACATTTGGATTATGGGGTTGTCAGAAGAAGAGAGAGAACAAGATATTGAAAACTTATTTGAAGAAATAATGACAGAAAACTTTCTACCTGATAAAAGAAATAGACTTACAAGTCCAGGAAACACAGAGAACCCCAGACAAGAGGAATCCAAAGAGGACCACACCAAGACACATCATAATTAAAATTCCAAGGGCAAAAGACAAAGAGAAAGTCTTAAAAGCAGCAAGTGAAAAACAGCTAGTTATCTACACGGGAGTGCCCATACGACTGTCAGCTGATTTCTCAACAGAAACTATTCCTGCCAGAAGGGAATGGCAAAAAATATCCAAAGTGATGAATAGCAAGAACCTATAACCAAGATTACTCTACCCAGCACAGCTATTGTTTAGAATTGAAGGTCAGATAAAGAGCTTCACAGACAAGAAAAAGCTAAAGGAGTTTATTACCATTGAGCCAGTAATATATTAAATGCTGAAGGGTATTCTTTAAAAATAGGAAGAAGAAGAAAAGGATAAAGATAAAAAATATGGACAATATAGTGATAACAAAAACATATCTATTTAACAACTGAATCTAAAAATCAAATTATTAAAAAATCTAATGAACAGAAAATACTGGTGAATGAAATAAAATCAGAGGCATGGAAATGAAACACAGTGATGATTCTCAAAGGGAAGGGATTGAGGGAGGGTATGGAAAGAGATTGGACAAAGATCTTCTATGCATGTATGCATTACTTATGGACACAGACAATAGTGTAGTGAGGGCTTGGGATGGGATGGGAATAGGGTGGAGAGGAATAAAGAGGGTAAAAAAGAGGGTCATCTGTCTCCCAAGAGCATTCTCCTGATGATTGTGGGAGAAATGGATTACCAGTCAGCTGCTTTAACACCTTCAAACAATTAACTCTGACCTCAGTTAATACTCCTGAGCCACACATTTTTTTCAAGTTATTTGTTTTAGTAAATTTTATTTAATATTAAAAAAGAATAATCTTTTTATTACCTCAATGACCATCAATTTGAACCATGCAATGAGAAGTGGGAATAAAGCATTTTCATAATGACCATGTCTCTTTAAAGGTCTTTTGATATCCTTTGTCATCTCAGTTACTGTTTGTCTTCAATTATACCTTTTTATTTGAACCTTTTTATATGAGTTGATGAATATATTTAATCAATTTTGCAATGTTTCTAAAGTCAAATTTATTTCCTTCTCTGCACAACTAATTTAACATGTTTATATCAATCAGATCTTTAACTTATTTTATAATAGTAACTTATATTGCTTACTCTTCCCAGTACCTAAGGTATAAAGAGAAAACTATTCAAAGTTAAGTATCAAAAATAAATTATACATATCTTAATTCTTATGTTGCATTTATAAGAATAATGATGTTCCTCTAAGATGATATAAATGTGTGCTTGATGAAAGACTGAAAAATGCAATTGATAATGAGATCTCTGAATGCCTTAATCTTCTGCAAACTGGGGTCTGATTATATTTCTGTAGAGACCCATTTGAATTTATCCTTACCAATTAAGAGTCCATGAAACTACTCCAAATGAGATAATATGGGAGCTCAGTTGTATAATTCCATCAAATTCATTTTCATTTATGGCACATAGAACCTTCTGTGCAATTTTCAAGGTATTTAGAGCTAACAAGCAGCCCTGAGATTGCCATCTTTAGAAAGTCCTACTTGCAAGGTTGGCCTACTTGGTTGGAGACTGGAAACTAAATCATAAACAATCCCCTATACTGATATAAAGTTTCTTTAAGTGATAAGTGGCTCACTATGCCTTATCTGTTTGTACAAACAACATGCATCATGGTGCACACCTTATTGCCATCTGGGAGTCTGAAATTTTGACACATGCTAGGAAGAAGTTGCTCAACTGATGCTTTCTAAAAACCTTGGGCATTGAGTCTGCAACTAGCTTCTCTGGTAGATAACACATAAGTCATCAAACTGGTGACTGGAGGAATTCAGCATGTCCTGTGTGACTCCACTGGTAAAGTACTCTTGTAAGCTTGTGCCTGATTTCCTGCAGATTTTACCCCATGTGCCATTTCATATCCTGATTTTACTTTGTAACTTTTTATTTTCATAGTACTTAGCTTCGAATGCATTAGGTGCTAAATCTTCTAGTAAATCTTCAAACCTGGGAGTGCTGGGGACATCTGACACACAGGATGAATTAAATATCTATATTGAAGTACATAAATTCTAAATAAAAATATTTATTGAATACTTTACTATGTGAATAGAATTATGTTCAGTGAAACCAAGACAAGTAGCCTAGATCTATTTTAAGAAATATAAAGTAGGGTTATTTCAGTGGGAGTTTTGAAAATGTACACACTTTATCTTGTCCAAATTATCAGGAAAGCTAGAGACATATACATTAGCTATAAAAGAACAAGTAAGGTTTGGGTAGGCTATGATATTTGGAGGCAGGAGTAAGGAGCGTTTTAGAAGGTTTTCCTTCTAAAGTTTCACTTGAAATTGTTAAATGTATGGAAGGTATAATAAGTAAGTGAGATATCTATATCTATATCTATATCCATATCCATATCCATATCATCTATATCTATCTAATGCATCTATCTATCTATCTATCTATCTATCTATCTATCTATCTATCTACCTATCTATCATCTATCTAAAGGGGTGATATGCAAATTAGCCAGGATGCTGTAATAGTCACAACCAGCCCAGGAGGAACAGATGGGTCTGGAGTGGAGACACAACACACAGGTGGGGACACCCCCAGCCCCAACAGCCACAGCATGGTGGCCACTGGGGCCAGACTCAGAGTAGAGACACAATACACAGGGGGGCCTGCTCTCACTGGGAGACAGTGTGCCAGCAGTCCTGCCTCTGCACATGAGCTGCAGAAGAAACACCTTTTCTTACAGATCATTGGCTAAGCTCCCTGTACGCCACTCACAATGTTCTTGATAACTTGGGTAATAAGAATCCAAGAAGGTGATCTAGCATTTTTCCACCTCACTCCTGGAAGAAAAAAATGAATGTCTGCTCCTGGAGGGGCTAAGAAATGTTATATCCTGCCCTATCCAATTTGGTTCAGTACCTAGATAGAGCCTCAGCCTGCAGATGGCAGGGTCTGGGTTTGATTCTTGTCAAGGGCATGTACCTAGGTTGCAGGCTTCTCCCTGGCTGGGACCAAGGTCAGGGCTCATGCAGGAGGCAACCAATCGAAGTGTCCCTCTCACATTGATGTTTCTCTCTATCTTTCCCTCTCTCTTCTATGCTCTCTAAAAATCAATGGGAACATACCCTCAGGTGAGGATAAAAAAGAAAGAAAGAAATGTCATATCCTATAAAAGAGACATCTTGAGAATGCCTAAAGAAAGTTGTCATTTTTTCATGGTGAAGGGGCTGGAGTCCATGTTGATGAAAACTCCTTGGTGGCTGCAGTGGCTGGCAGTGGCTGCAGCAGTGGGGTGATGGGGGTGGCACCCTGCAGAGCTTAGGCCTATTCCTCTGAGAGCCCCTGGACTGTCAGAGGAGGCAGGCTGGGCTGAGGGACCTGTTCCCCCAGTGCACAAATTTCATGCACCAGGCCTCTAGTAGAGTATATTGAGGAAATAAAAATAGAATAACAAGTTACTATGGCACAAAGTGGACTGTTAAAATGATCTTGGTGAAAAATCTTAATACTCTGAATGCCTTATTTATAACTCAATTTCATGTAAAACTTATGGATTATTATAGAAAGCCTCCACATTTTTATATAATTTAAAAGTGTCCTTCTTAAACTCTAATTAAGTTTTTTTCTTTTCTGTCTTTCCTTTGTTCAGATCCATCATGAGTGAGGAATGGGACTCAAACATTTCAGAAAACTGGAATTATATTTTGAGTGTCAATAATACAAAGCCTGATCTATACTCAGACATCAATATTACCTATGTGAATTACTATCTTCATCATGCTCAAGTGGCAGCGGTATTCATTATTTCCTACTTTCTGATTTTCTTCCTGTGCATGGTGGGAAATACAGTGGTCTGCTTCATTGTAATGAGGAACAAACATATGCACACAATCACTAATCTCTTCATCTTGAACCTGGCCATAAGCGATTTGCTAATTGGCATATTTTGTATGCCTATCACGCTTCTGGACAACATTATAGCAGGTATGTTGACTTGTGTACAGTGCACTGATGATATGAGAAAATATCCCATCTCCCTGCAGCTATGGCTCAGTAATCTATTCATTGACATTTATATAACTTACAAGGTGATCCCCCAATAAGTCTAGTACCAATTCTGCATCATACATAGTGATTACTATGTTACTGGCTATATTCCCTCTGTTGTACTATTTTGTAACTGCCAATTTGTACATCTTAATCCCTTCACCTTACTGTGTTCACTGAAGGTCACCAGAGAGTGAAATCTAGCACATGTTACCGAAGACTTTGAATTTACTTAATACAATTCAGAGCACACATAATATGGTAGAAATATTATTGAGAATATTATGAACTGTAAAGTTCAAGGAACTGGTCAGGCTGGTTTCAATTAATGTATCCTCTTTAACCTAATATAAATATATCAGTAGCCCAGTGCACAAAATTTGTGCACATAAAAAGGGAATTAGAGGAAATATTTTAATTTTGTCCTTTCCCTATAATAGAAGTGTCAGAGATGAAAGAAAATTAGTAAAATTGTATATGAAAATCTCCCTCCTGTCAGAGTCTGGGGCAAATCACGGGAATTAGAGTCAAGTCCCTACCCACCTGCATGAACCTTGAAATTGTGCGAAACCCAGACCCGGCTGGGTCCACCCCCATCAAGCCCCGCAGGGCAGGGGGCACAGCCTGGTGGTAGGAGAGGCTCCTGCCACTGCTCAGCCTCAGGTCCCCTGGCCTGGTACCGGGAGGGGGGCACGTCTCAGGTCCCCCGTCAAGCCCTACTGGGCAGAGGGTGGAATGTCAGGTCCCATATCAAGCCCTACTGGGTGGGGGGTGCAGGCTCAGGTTCCCCAGTGCAGCTTCAGGTCCCCTAGCCCCGGTTTTCAAACATGGGGTGCGACCTCAGGTCCCATGGCTTCAGGTCCCTCAGCCCCAGTGGTGGGTCAGGGGGTATGGCCTCAGGTTCCAGGGCACTGCTTCAGGTCCCCTGGTCCTGGTACCGGAGCACAGGGTGCAGCCTCACATCCCCTGGCTTAGCCTCAGGTCCCCTGGCCCTTATGCAGGGGCAAAGGTGCAGCCTCAGGTCCCCTGGCCTGGCCTCAGGTTCCCCAGCCCCAGTGCAAGACTGCATGGACGTGAGGGCATGAGGGCGCGAGGATGGGACAACCATTTGCACATTAGCTCTTTATTATATAGGGTATTTAGACTCTCTGTGGTTAGCTAGGGATGTTTACCACAGTTTTTGATGTAAGATGGAACAGCAGTCCCAATGGTTTCTCAAAATGCAGACATTTCATCAGTGGAAATTTACATGTGCAAAATAAGTAAGTAATAGGTACTACCATAGATTATTTCTGGGCCTGCATTACTACTTCTTTTGCACTACATTATATACTGTGGAAGTATAAGAATGGTATATTTCCAATTCCCAGTAGAGTTCTGATACATAGTACAAGTATTTGTTACTAATTAATGAATTGTATTCAAGATATTCATATTCCTAATATATAAGAAAAAAACCCTGAAATAATAGCAATATATTAAAAAAAATTTAGAGCAGCATGAGCAATGTCATAGTTCTTATCTTTTCATAACATTCAACATCAATTTACTGAAGAATAAGAGGTTTCTCTGTAGGTTTCACCTATTCCCTTCCTTTCTCTGGAGTGGGAGTTCAGAACATCTCTTGTTCATAGATTCTGTGTTTTTGTGATGTTTATCATTAAATAATGATATTTATCAAGGATGTTCAATTTCAAAGTACTGTGCTAGACAAAAAGAATTGATAAAAATGAGCATAATTGTTCTCAAGAAACCTAGTCACAAATAACAAATGCTCTCAATATTCCCTCTGTAAATATTTACAATTAAATTATTATTTCAAAAAATTTTATATACATTACCCTTCCTTGCCTCTGATTTGCATTCCTAGGAGGCAGCCACATTGAGCAATTTTTACTTTATTTTTGGTAATGACTATCATATTTCTAACTAGTGTGTTTTCATTATAATGTGCTGTCTTCAAACTGTAGCGATGTAATTTACTTTCATAATCCTCTTCTACCAGAAGAGGTAGTTGTCCTTACCAGACTCTTCTGAAATGACAGCATTAGGGCAAAAGAACATAAACCCATAGAAACTGCATGTCAGATAATATTGAGTGTGAAGTGGGGAGCAACAAGAGTAGCTGAAGCCAAAACCGGTTTGGCTCCATGGATAGAGCGTCAGCCTGCAGACTGAAAGGTCTTGGGTTCAATTCCAGTCAAGGACATGTAGCTTGGTTGCAGGCACATCCCCAGTGAGGAGTGTGCAGGAGGTGGCTGATCGATATTTCTCTCTCATTGATGTTTCTAAATTTCTATCCCTCTCCCTTCCTCTCTGTAAAAAATATCAATGAAATAAAATATATTTAAAAAAAGAGTAGCTGAAATTCTGTATAAATGTAATCATACATATACATACAAAACCACAAGTGTACATTCACACTAATGTATGTTCACCCTCTTTCCTACTCTTACTCTCTCAATATATTTATACTAGTAGCCCTGCACATGAATCCATGCTCCAGTAGGTCGCTGCCACCCTCCTGTAGCTCTCCGCCTGCTGCCCCGCCCTCCTGTAACTTCCTCCACCCCCCATAGCTCGCTGCCCTGTCCCCTCCTAAAGCTCTCCACCACCAGTTTATAGTTCCGCTGCCCCACCTTCCTGCAGATCCATGGTCTGGTCATTACGTGATCAGTCATTACGCTCACAGCATAACGGATAATTAGCATATTCCTCTCCTATTATATAGTATCATCGTTTTTTATTGAATCACTATTCAGATTTTACATTCCTGTTATATGTATCTTACCCCTGATTAACCAAGAGGAGTGCTATGATAGCAATTTTTCTCTTATAAGATGATTTTTGTTTTCCTGGGTTTGACAAGGGCATCATATTTTGATCTGTTTAATTTGGGGTGTGTACCTGGTAGTAATATGTATCTTCAAATACACATTCAGGAGTATTGATTTCTTGTCAGTACTTTCAAACATGGTACATAACCTGTAAATTGCATCTTTATTTATTTTTTCCTGGAAATACCCTCCAGGTACTCTTCGATGTTTTGTTCCAATCAAGGCACAGTGCCCTCCAGACAGGAAGCTCAGCTCCTGCTCTGCAATGCCCCTTCACTAACACCCTAACAATCTCTTTACTTCTCCCAATCCTCTGTTGTCTGGATGCCATTTCCCCCCCCTCCTTTTATTTTTGTTATCTTCCAGAGAGAGGGTGAATTGAGATTAAATTGTTTAAAATCTTATAGATCCGAATGTATTTTTTTTTTCTGCCCTCATACATGACTAGTTAGATATATAAAGTATTCTAGGTTGGGCATTTTCCCCTCTCAAAATATTTAAAGAGACTGCTCTATTTTTATTCCAAAACCTGATATTATTGTTGAAAAATCCAGTGACTCTTGGTTTTTATGCTCATGATTTGTTATGTTGTTGTTCTGCCTGAAAGTTCTTGGGGCTTCTCTTTATCTTCAGTGTTCTGAATTATGGTGTCTTTTTTATTTTTCATTTTTTTGTGGTGGACACAAACTAGGTCATTTTAAGCAAAATAAACAAACAAACAAATAAATAAATAAATAAATAAATAAATAAATAATAATTCTCTTATATCCTGGAAACTTTCTTATAGAAGTTTTTATTGTTTTACTTTCTTTAACTCCAATTAATCAGATATTTGAGATCTTTTTTTCTTCCATTTTCTGCTCCTTATTGTTCTACTTTTCAATAATTTTCTTAATTTTCTCTTCCAGACTTTATGTTGAGTTCTTCATTTATGTCACAATATTTTAAAATCTTTGACCTGCTTTATGTGTTTCTTACACTCTATTGTACATGTTTCATGGATAAAGTGTGTTATATCTTTAAGATTATTAAAAATGATTTGTGGGTTGTTGTTTTTTTTTGTTTTGTTTTTTTCATTTGTCTGCCTCATACTGTTTTTTTCATAAATATCTTTTTTTTTCCAGTTTGTTTTAGACTATTTTTATATTTTCTGTTCCCCTAATGTCAACTGCTACTTAGCTGCTTGTGTTTCAGAAGGAGGCACTGTAGTGCTTCCTTGAACTACTGCATGTATGAGGCTTTGTGTTAAGACTACCTGCAGCTTCATTAGTCCGGGCCATTCATTGGGAAACCCACAACTGTTAAGATCAGCATATCTCTGTTCTTGGAAGAATATTTCCCAGAAGGAAATTATCTGATCTACTACCATAGTATACAAGACTGACTGACATTTGCATTCCACACTGAATGGGCCAACAGTATTGCATTTATTTAATTCTGCATCATTGAGACATCCATTCCACCTGTACCTGATGACGCAGAGTCTACAACCACTGTGCTTCTACCTCCTTAGTGAGTAACCTCCATTCTTCTTCCCACCTGAGAAAAGGCTATTTATACATAATTCAGCCAATCATTTTGTTTGCCCAACTTTACTTTCAATAGTATCTGCCATCTCAATTTCTACGGATTTATGTTATTTTTGTCCAGTGCTATCATTTTAGTGGAATTGGGGAGGGAGATGAGATAAATTGTATGTTTATTCTTTAATTTTCAACCATTGGCTGTACACTCTCTTTTGTATTTTTGTTAAAAAATAATACTAAAACAAACAACCAAATTTTAGGACTTGGAAGACATGTTCTCTTTTGGTTTACTCAGTAGAGCCACTCAAGCTCCTATTGCAAATAGTCTGGATGAATGAAGAGTGTTGTGTTGTTGTTTTTTAAGATATATGTGGATTATTTAGGTCACTGGTAATATTTTTAATTAGGTAAGAATATCTTTTAAAATAAAGTACAGGATCTTTTTAAGAGATACATTTTCAAAATTTGAGAAATATGTTGCATTCATCATTTGGAAAACTAGAATATCTGCTAGTGAAAGAATAAATACTTTCCTATAATAGCAGATGGGTGGTTAGAATATCAAACTGCTATAATAATTTTATAACATCTTTTATAAAAATTCTGGCAACTGAAGTTCACTTAAAGAACTCAAATAGACTACTTTTGTCCATGTAGAGTGCTCTTTATTCTGAAAGGATATCTTAGTTGGCTCTTGCTGCTATAACAAAATACCATAGACGGGGCTTAACCAGCAGAAATTTATTTTCTTACCATTCTGGAGGTTTGAAGTTCAAGATCAGGGTGCCAGCATGGTCAGGTTCTTAGTGAGAGTACTTTTTCTGTTTTGTAGATAACCACCCTCTTGCCATGTATTCACAAGGCCTTTCCTCTGAGCATGTACATGGATAGAACTCTTTCTTTCTTCCTCTTATAAATTCATCATGTGGGCAAAACCCTCATGGCCTCATCAATATCTAATAGAAACCCACACCTGAAGCATGTATGATCACATTAACCAATGTCACACCAATGCCACCACAATACATTTAATTAAAAAAAAAAGGGAAAATAAATAAATAAAATGGAAAAAAATAAACCTAATTACTTATAAAAGGTTGAATCTCCAAATACCATCACTTTGGGGCTTAAGGCTTAAGTATATAACTGGGGATAGCACAAACATCTGTCACATAACAAAATACTTCTGTGTTAATATTTATCATCACATTATATATAAACTAGAGGCCTATGCACAAAATCTATCCAGAAGGTTGTTCAGCTGTCCATATTATTTAGTATATTATGCTTATATTATTATTGATAAAAATTAATTTTATTTTTCCTGTAGCTCCTCATAATTTATAGGGTACATTTCTAAGTTAGAAAATGATTTTCTCTTTTTTTTATTCATTTAAAGGACATCCTATATAAAGAGGTACTATGCAAATTGACCATCACACCCTCACACAAGATGGTCATTCCCATGTGGTCACAAGATGACTGGCATAAGATGGCTGGCAGGATAGCGCAGTGGGGGTGATCAGGCCAGCAGGGGAGGGCAGTTGGGGGCGACCAGGCCTTCAGGGGAGGGCAGTTGGGGATGACAAGGCCGGTAGAGGAGGGCTGTTGAGGGCAACTAAGCCTTCAGGGAAAGGCAGTTGTGGGCAACCAGGCCAGCAGGTTAGGGCAGTTGGGGGTGATTGGGCTGGTAGGCAATCGTGCCTAGAATGTTTTGATATTGTTAGGATGCAAAAAAAAAAACACACACACACACCAAAAACAGAGCCCTGAAGATACTAATGAAAATAATGGGAACTATTGATTGTTCCATGAATACCATTTAGAAAAGTTATATCATTCTTGATTTCATGCTTTTCTGTTTATATTTTCAGTGAAATTGTAAAAAATGATGTTTTTTTCAAAACTAAACTGTTCCTTTTCCCTTTCAGGATGGCCATTTGGAAGCACAATGTGCAAAATCAGTGGTCTGGTTCAAGGAATATCCGTTGCGGCTTCTGTCTTCACATTGGTTGCAATAGCAATGGATAGGTAAGTCAGCACCCCAACCTGAATCCAGAAAAATGTGCATGCAACTAATCCACTTAACTGGAGAAGTATATAATGTGATAAGTGGGATATATATATATATATATATATATATATATATATATATATGAGAGAGACATAGGATATGTATATAAAGAGAATATATATACACACAGATAAAAAAACATAAAATGTAGTATAATTATTGACATAAAAACTTGATAGATTCTATTTTTAATATTAATATATTGTTTCATCATTATTTACACTGTTTTAATATATTTCTAGGAATTTATCATGTAGATCTAGTTTATTTGGTTTACAGGTATAGAGAATAAATTTAAACATATATTAACCATTCTATAACAAAAATATTTTTTTACATTAAGTTTCTAAATTTACTATGTCCTGTTATTATCAGACTATATTATTATTATTATTATTATTATTATTATTTTTATTGCATACTCTTTTTTTCTGGATGAATCTGGCTAAAGATTTATTAATTGTATTTATCTTAATTTTTTAATTCAAGAAATTAGGTCTTGATTTCATTGATCTATTTCCCTCTGTCCCTCACCTGAGGATATTCTTCATTGCTTTCCAGAGAGAGTAGAAGGGAGTGGGAGAAGAAAAGGGAGAGAGAGAGAGAGAGAGAGAGAGAGAGAGAGAGAGAGAGAGAGAGAGAGAGAGAGAGAGAGGAGTATTGATGTTAGAGGGACACATCAGCTGGTTGCCTCTCACACATGCTTGGCCAGAGGTGGGAGCAAACCCGCAGTCCAGGTATGTGTGTGCCTTTGACTGGAATTGAACCCAGGAACCTTTGGTGTGAAGGCCAATGTTCTAACCATTAAGCAACACTAACAAGGGCTTAATGCTCTTTCATATGTTTTCTTTTGGGCTCTATTTTGATTATTTCTGCTCTGATATTTATTTGCTTTTTTTTCTATTCACTCTGGGCTTTGTTTGTTCCTTTCCTAGTTTCTTTAGATGTAAAAAATTGTTTATTGAAGCCTTTTCTTTGTTTCTTTAGGTAGGCCTATATTGCTATGAATTTCCCTTTTAAAACTTCATTTGTTGTGTCCTACAGATTGAGTCATGTGTTTTCATTTTATTTGTCTCAAAGTATCTTTTTATTTTTTCCCTTGATTCAGTTGTTAACCCAGTCATTGTTTAGTAGCATGTTATTTAAACTCCATGTGTTTGTGTATTTTTCTTCATGTTTTCTTGTAATTGATAGTTGGAGAAGATGCTTGATATAATTTAAATCTTTTTAAATTTGTTGAGACTTGTTTTGTAGCCTAACATATTGTCTATCCTGGAAAATGTTTCAAGTGTGCTTGAAAAAAATGTATATTCTGCTTCTTTGGGGTAAAATAGTTTAAAAATATCAACTAAACCCATGAAATCTAATGTGTCATCTCAGGCACTCTTTCTGTATTGACTTTCTGTCTGAATGATCTATCAATCAATGTCAGTGGGGTGTTAAAGTCTTCTACGATTACTGTCAATCTCTCCCTTTTTGTCTATCAATATTTGTTTTGTTTATTTAAGTGCTCCTGAATTGTGTGCATTGATGTTTACATGGATTATATCCTCTTATTGGATTGATCCCTTTCTCATTGTGACATGTCCTTCTGTTTTTTTGTTATTGTCCTTAAAGTCTAGTTTATCTGATATAAGTATTGCTACACTAGCTTTTATTCATTTCTATTTGTATAAAATACCTTTTTGCATTCTTTTACTTTCAGTCTGTATGTGTCTTTCAATCTAGTGTATGTGCTGCCGAAGTGAGCACGTGTCTTTCAATCTAGTAGATCTCTTATAAGCGGCATATGTCTAAGGCTTGTTTTCTTATCCATTCAGGCACCCTGCATTTTTTATTATTACATTTAATCCATCTACAGTTAAAGTAATTATAGGTATCTAGTAATTGCTATTTTAGTTTTCATATTTTTAATCTTTTTTCTCCTAAAGCAGGGCCTTTAAAATTTCTTATAATACTGGCTTGGTTGTGCTGAACTCCTGTAGCTTTTTTTTTTTTTTTTTTTTTTTTTTTTGTCTTCAAAGCTTTTCATCTCTACTTTGATTCTAAATGTTAGCCTTGCTGGGAAGAGTAGTCTTGTTTATAGGTCTTTGCTTTTTATCATTTTGAATATTTCATGCCAATCTCTTCTGGCCTGCAAAGTGTCTATTAAGAAATCAGCTCACAGTCTTAAGAGAGCTTCCTTGTAGTTAATTAACTGCTTTTCTTTTGCTGCTTTTAAGAATCTCTCTTTGTCTTTAATCTTTGACATTTTAATTATGATGTTTGCCTCTTTGGATTCAGTTTGTTTGAAACTCTCTGTGCTTCTTGCGCTTGTGTAGATTAGGAAAGTTTTTGGTCATTAGTTCTTCAAATAGGTTTTCAATCCTTTGTTCTCATTTCTTCTTCCTATACCCTTATGATGTAAATATGGTTATGCTTGATGTTGTTCCAGAAATTTCTTAAATTATCTCACTATTTTTTTTCTGCTGTTTTTATTAGGTTTCTCCCACTACCTTGTCTTCCAAATTGCTGATTATGTCCTCTATTTCATCTAATATACTGTTGATTTCCTCAATTTATTCTTCATTTCAGCTATTATAGTCTTCATTTCTGACTGGCTCTTTTTTATGTTTTCTATCTCCATTTTTATGCTTCCTATCTCTTTGTTAATGTTCTCACTGAGTTCATCTAAGTTTATTGAACATCCTTATGACCAGTGTTTTGAACTGAGCCTACTATTTATGAGATTGAAAAAAAGAATAGAGTAAATCAATGGAGCAAAGAAGATTGCCTTCTCTGTAGTAGCTAGTCCTTATTTAATCAGTTGAAGACCTGAGTAAAACAAAAAGACTGACCTTCATATAAGTAAGAGAAAACTTCTGCCTGATTTTACCTAGGACATCAGTCTTTTCCTGCCTTCATACTGAAAACAAAATGTCAGTTCTTCTGGAGTCTTGAGCCTACTATTTTTCAGACTGGAACTTAACATCAATGGCTCATCTGCTTCCCAGGCCTTCAGACTTGATCTTCCCATTTGCCAACTGTAGATCTTGGGACTTCTCAATTACATAATTACATGAGTCAATTCCTTATAATAAACATCTTCAAATATATCTATGCATCCTGTTGGTTCTGTTTCCCTGGTGAACCCTGACTAATGCACTGGCCAAGTTCAAACTCTAGCATGATGAGAAAAACTACACAGTATTTTCATTGACTAATTTCCTGGCAGGGAACATTCTCTTTATTATTCATCTTTGTCTTTCTGAATGAACCAATAAGTAAAATATTTGTGGTTCTCATAGTTGGTTTACAAAAAGAGAAAAATATCTAGAATTGTGCCCATGAAGTTACCAGTAATTTATTGGTGAGTAAATGGGAGGATTCACTGACCAGAAAACTAGAAGAAAGCTTGGAGGTTAAGACAGAAGATCTTATGCCTGTGATGAAGTGGTTCTAAGGGACAACAGAGCTATCAAAGCTCAAGCTGACTACTCATTACATGAAATTATGTCAGATAAATTAATTTGAGTTGCTGCTGAACCATGACAAAGCTCTGTTTTCTTAAGTGCAGATCTGGAAAGTAATAATTTTCTTAACTTTTATGTTGTATAGCGTCAACACAAAAATCAAAGAAGATTAAATAGGTGATTGTAACTTGAAAACTATAAAATGTTATACAATTTACTTAAGTAATTCCCACATTCTTCTCAAAAATTATAAAATTATAATTATAAAAATATAAAATTATGGTATGATTATTTTATAATTAACATAATGAATATCAGTAATAGTTATAGGAAGAATCATAAGAACAAAATAACAGTAAAGTGAATCAGACTCACTATACATACTGATGCTGAATTTTTATGTTCACCAGAGGACATAGACCTTTGGACAAGTGCATAATCAGAATTCATAACAGAAACTCAACTCTCATAGCTGTGAAGCAAACCACCAAAACACATAGTGGCTCGAAATAATAATTCCTTAGTATGATTCATGATTCTGTAGATTGGTTGATTGCTTCCTGTGTTTCTGCTCAGTGTGCTATAGCTGAAATCAGTACAGCTGCAGCATTACCCTGGGATCTAAACTAGGGCTGTATCATTCTGAATGACCAGCCTCTCATGCCCCAGGGTCTTTCTCCACTCAGTCTCTCATCTAATTCAAGCATCTTTACAACACAGTAGCTGGCTTTCAAGAGGAAGCATTCCAAAAGGACAAGCCCCAATATACAAGGGCATAAAAAGCTTGTGTTTATGTCATGCTTGCCAATGTCCCATTGGCCAAGGCAAGTGAAATGGTCAAGCACACAGTTAACATGGGAGAGGGCCACAGAAGGGCATGAAGAAGAGGTTAAGAATATGGGCTTTAAAGGTAAACTACTTGAGTCACAATTATGTGTACTTATGGGCAATATCTTTACCTTTTATAAGCCTGTTTTCTCATTTTATTTTTAAAAAGTTTTAAAAAAATATATTTTATTAATTTTTTTTACAGAGAGGAAGAGAGAGGGATAGAGAGTTAGAAACATCGATGAGAGAGTAATATCGATCAGCTGCCTCTTGCACACCCCCTACTGGGGATGTGCCGTAACCAAGGCACATGCCCTTGACCAGAATATTATAGAACCTGGGACCCTTCAGTCCGAAGGCTGACACTCTATCCACTGAGCCAAACCGGTTTTGGCTATTTTCTCATTTTAAATGATGGTGCTTAAGTAGATAATTCATGCAAACAATGGAAAATAATGGAAGAGAGTATTACATATTCATGCTCAATACACAGTAGTTTCTACTATTACTTTTATTAATAATAGTGTCTAAATAATATACATTTATTTATATTTTCATTGAAATGTATCTCATATCAATTACAGAAAATGGCAATGCATGCCTTTCTACTACTAATGGTAACTTTCTATGTTTTTGAGAAGAATGTGGTAATCACTTAAATAAATGTCATTCACAGGTCAGAAGTTATGAGGCACTGCCTCAACTGATATTTGCCTTTAATTACAGGTTTCGGAGTGTTGTCTACCCTTTTAAACCAAAGCTCTCTATCAAGACAGCAGTTGTCATTATCGTGATCATCTGGGTCCTGGCCATTGCCATTATTTCCCCATCTGCAATAATGTTACATGTACAAGAAGACAGATATTACCAGGTAAAACTCAACTCAGAGAATAAAACCATGCCAATCTACTGGTGCCAGGAAGACTGGCCAAATAAGAAAATGAGAAAGATCTACACCACTGTGCTGTTTGCTAATATCTACCTGGCTCCCCTGTTCCTCATTGTCATCATGTATGGGAGGATTGGAATTTCACTTTTCAAGATGCCAGTGCTTCACACAGGCAAGCAGAACCAGAAGCAGTGGCACGTGGTGCCCAAGAAGAAGCAGAAGGTCATTAAGATGCTCCTGATTGTGGCCCTACTTTTTATTCTCTCCTGGCTGCCCTTGTGGACTCTGATGATGCTCTCAGACTACGCTGAGCTGTCTCCAAATGAACTACAGGTCATCAACATCTACATCTACCCTTTTGCACACTGGCTGGCCTTTTGCAATAGCAGTATCAACCCCATCATTTATGGTTTCTTCAATGAGAACTTTCGCCGTGGTTTTGAAGATGCTTTTCACCTCAAGTTCTGCCAAAAAAGAGCACAGTCCAAGGAAGCCTTTGCCCTACGAGCTGAAAACAACGTGGTCATAAATACATCTCACCAGTTAGCCCACGAACCTTCAATTCAAGACACACATGAGGAAAATTTTCTTTAGAAACAGTGTGGAAAACCCCAAACAGAAATTGGTGGAAGAATGAGGAGGAGCTACCAATAGCAATGAGATTATAAAAAGAGCTGGAGTGGTGATTTCAACTCTACTGTGATATATATTGAAATGCTGTTGCTACCTATAGTTTTGTACTTCAGTTGTTTCTAATAAATGTTCCAAAGAAACATGTAGAGAAAGCCCTCTCTGGAAAAATAAAAGTAAACAAAAATGGTTTTATGTTCATAACCAATCTTGCAGCATGTAAAATATGTCAAATGACGAATATGTTTGCCTGGATAAATCTATTTTCTAGCAACATATTGCAAAGCTTGACCTTTTCAACTTAACTATTTGTGTATGAGACAAGCATGTGCATTATGTCTGTTGATACATGCATACATGAATGCATATGTGCACACACACAGAGTTCCCATATGATGATAAATTGGTAGTTTTTTGCATGAGAGTACATTTTATCAAGTCTCCCTTTGCTTTTCTATTTGAAATTTTAGATTAAAAATTGTCTTTTTTTTTTTTTTAAATTTGTATTTAAATGTTTTTTTTGTATTTAAATGTATTTAAATGTTTTTGTTTTTTTATTCGTATTTAAATGTTTGTTTGTTTTTTCTTTTAAAGAATATATAGTTGGTAAAAATCATAGCATTGTTTCATAGGAATTACTGTCATTTTTTAAATTTTTTAGAAGTGAGGTTTATGCCCTACCGGAGTCCATGATTCTTACAGAGGTGATTCAGGACCCAATTTAATTCCCTTGTTAATAGAATATGTGACACAAAAAGGCAAATCTCTCAGTGGAGCAGTTGGCAGAATAATGGCAGCTCTCTTTTGAAGTGCTTAATCAGGGACACTCAAAATCATCTAAGGTCCTACCTGGTTTGGCTCAGTGAATAGAGTGTCAGCCTGTGGACTGAAGGGTCTAAGGTTCAATTCTGGCCAAGCGCACATGCCTGGGATTGCTAGCTCAATCTCCCGTAGGAGGCCAGAATATCATAGAACCTGGGACCCTTCAGTCCGAGGTTCTAATATTATAGAACCTGGGACCCTTCAGGCCGAGTTCTGTGGACTGAAGGGTCTAAGGTTCAATTCTGGCCAAGCGCACATGCCTGGGATTGCTAGCTCAATCTCCCGTAGGAGGCATGCAGAAGGCAGCCAATCAATGATTCTCTTTCATCATTGATGTTTCTATCTCTCTCTCCCCTCTCCCTTCCTCTCTGAAATCAATGAAAATATATTTTAAAAATCATCTAAGACTCCTATAAAGTCTGTGCAGAGCCAAACCAATTATTCCAAATTTTCTACCGAGTACAACATTTAAATCTAGCACTCCTACTGGTTTAGTAAATTGGTACTGATATTATAAAGAGAATTGCAACCCCCTGAATTCCCCTGTGTTATAATTATGTTTATGATAGTTGTAAATGCTAGCTTTTAGGGGGATATAAGTCCCTAGAAAATTGGGAATTATAAAATAACAGTCTGGCAAATAAAAATCTCTGGTCTTGGAACTATTGTGTGTTTTCAAGTCATTTATGTAGTTCAATCTGAAAGCTTTTCAATAACATAGGCCTTTGAGAAGATAATTGTTGAGTTTTTAATTGAATTAAGATTTTTGATATTTGAATATGCAAGTGCTATTTCCTGCAGCGAGGGAAACTTTATGAAGTTCTTTTGTGCAATCTTCCAAATTCAGGTTCATGTGCCTAATGTGCAGTTAAAACCATTCACTGAAATACCAGTGCTGGGAGGCAGAACGGATTATTTGATTTGGCCAGAGCAAGAGGAGTGGAGAGCAAGATCTTTGAAATTTATCTTCCCCAAAAGGCAAAAGTAGGGAGTTTTTATGTAGCTAATGAGTAGGGGAGAGGGTCTTTCAGGGAACTGAAGAAGAAATGGTGTGTTTCTTCTATTTCAGATAACACTTTGTGCAGCCAGACTTTTAGGCATGAGCAGATGATCACAACTTTCTTAAAGGCCCTCCTTCTGCACATAAACCCATAACTTGTCTTTGTGACCTTGAAGTTAGCTCCTCCTGCTAGACAAGGAAACAATGTACAATATATTGTGAGAACAAGGGCTGCTTGCAGGGAGAGCAGTTAACATGTGTAAATGAGCAAGGTCCAACTATACTTTCAATTCTGCCCTCATTTACTGAAATATTATTTATGATGTCTAAGTTGGTGTACTGAGACATCGAATATTATTTTGTTAGAAACTATCACTTTCTGATGGGCACGCTCACATTCTACCAGTTCCTGAAAGTCATCTTAACTAAGTCCCTTACCCTTATCTGTTAACTAGTTAAAATTTTTATCACCTCCAATTCCTCATTACCTGTTTCCTATCAGTGATAAAACTCATCACTGAATCCCATCTCGGCTTTCAGCTTTGTCTTTAAATTCTTTCCATAGTTGGTGGAGTCATCTCTGAAAAAGAGGGTGAATGTGTATGTGTTCTTTGTAAAAACACCTTAAGAAGCTCTATAAAGCATGTATAGACACTCAAGGCTCACCTAAGCCTGGCTCTTGTCTCCTATTTGCATCTACACCACAAATTGTTTTCTAAACTCCAGTCAAACCAAGATGGTCAGCTTAGATTGTAGTATTTTTTTCATTTATGAGTTATTCTCTGCTTCATTTCCCTATCTGGCTGTCTACCCTTTGTCCAAAGCCTATTAAAACACTACCTCTTAGAAAGTCTGTTTTTATTCTTATAATCAGAGATGTGTACTTCCTCTTCTAAGCATTATGAGCCTCATGTATGAAAACCTCACCTGTATGGTGATTATTCTGTCTTCTCCTGGAAACTGGAATATACATTCCTAAAGGGCATTTGTTCCTCCCTTGAGCATTATGCACCTCTTGCATGACAAACTCAATTATATTGTAATTAGAGGCCTGGTGCATGAAATTCATGCATGGGGTAAGGGTGTCCCTCAGCCCTGCCTGTACCCTCTCCAATCTGGGACATCCCTCTCACAATCCAGGACTGCTGGTTCCCACCTGCTTGCCTGCCTATCTTCCTGATTGCTGCTATCTGCTTCTGCCTGCCAGCCTGATCACCCCTAGCCACTCCCCTGCTAGCCTTATTGATGCCAAACTGCTTCCCTGCCACCCTGTTTGCCCCTAACTGCCCTCCCCTGCAGGCCTGGTCACCTCTAACTGCCCTCCCCTACAGGCCTGCCCCCACCCTCCCCCAACTGTTCTCCCCTGCAGGCCTGGTCCCTTACAACAGTCTTTCCCTGCAGGCCCGGTCGCCTCAACTTTTCTCCTCTGCTGGCATGGTCACCCCTAACTGCCTTCCCCTGGAGGTGTTCTTGCCCCCAACTGCCCTCCCTTGTAGAACTGGTCCCTCCCAACTGCCCTCCCCCACTGACCATCTTGTGGTGGCCATCTTGTGTCCACATGGGGTCAGTCATCTTTTTAAAAAAATATATTTTATTTATTTTATTTTATTCTATTTACAGAGAGGAAAAGAGAGGGATAGAGAGTTAGAAACATCAATGAGAGAGAATCATCAATCAGTTGCCTCTTGCACACCCCCTACTGGGGATGTGTCTGCAACCAAAGTACATGCCCTTGACTGGAATCAAACCTGGGACCCTTCATTCCGCAGGCTAATGCTCTATCCACTGAGCCAAACCAGTTTTGGCGGTCAGTCATCTTTGACCACATGGGGCAGCCATCTTGTATGCTGGAGTGACAGTCAATATGCATATTATTCTTTTTTTTTTAATATATTTTATTGATTTTTTACAGAGAGCAAGGGAGAGAGATAGAGAGCTAGAAACATCAATGAGAGAAACATCGACCAGCTGCCTCCTGCACACCCACTACCGGGGATGTGCCTGCAACCAACGTACATGCCCCTGACCAGAATCAAACCCGGGACCTTTCAGACCGCAGACCGATGCTCTACAACTGAGCCAAACTGGTTTCGGCTTTATGTATATTATTCTTATTAGATAGGAGAATTAGATAGGATAGAGGCCTGGTGCACAGGTGGGGGGCAGCTGGTTTGCCCTGAAGTAGGTGTACTGGATCAGGGTGGGGGGCCCCTTGGGGCTTGGGGCAGCCTTGGTGAGGGGCCTGTGGTGGTTTCCCCCCCCCCCCCCAGTGGCCCAAGTGGAGGCCCTGGTATCTGGGATTTATTTATCTTCTATAATTGGAACTTTGTCTTGAGCAGAGCCAAGCCTCCTGCTCGCTCTGTGGCTGCCATTTTTGTTGGGATTTACTGATCTTCGATAATTGAAACTTTGTAGACTTAAGCAGAGGCTAAGGCAGGCCAGGGTTAGAGAAACTTGGCTTCCTCCATCACTGGGGTAAACTCAAACCTCCTGCTGTCTTCAGCTCTGTGACTGACACCATTTTTGTTGGGATTTATTCATCTCCTACAATTGAAACTTTGTAGCCTTAAGCAAAGACCAAGGCAGGCCAGGCAAGCAGAAAGCTTGGCTTCCTCCATTGTCAGGGAAACCTAAGCCTTCTGCTCTCTCTGTGGCTGCAGCCATCTTGGTTGGGTTAATTTGCACACTTACTCCTGATTGGCTAGTGGGTGTGGCTTACGGGTGTAGCGGAGGTACAGTCAATTTGCATATTGCTCTTATATTAAATAGAATTGTTCTATTTTTTTCTTGCAACTACAAAATAAATTTGTCAAGGGCATGATGAATTAAGGCTGACTGGTCTTTAGATGCCCTACAATGTGTATCATAATAGCAATAATAACAAGAACTCAATTTTTTGAGCCTTATATGCCAGGAATTTTATAGACATTTGTATTGTTCATTCCCATTTTATAGGTATGAGCACTAGAATTTTGAGATAGTAAGTTATCTAAAATTGTGTAGGTAAATTTTGAGTAAGCTGTGAGTGGGACACAGGTCCCCAAGTAGTTTCAAAGCCTGTGCTCTTGCATCGGATTGTACTTTTAAATGAAGCATCCTTGGATGTTCTGCATCAAACTTTTTTTAACCTCTCAAATTCTCT